AGTTGCTGTGAGCATTTGCATGAAAATCCTTTTGTGGATATATGTCATTTTCTTTAGGTAAATACTCAAAAGTGGAATTTCTGGGTCATATGGTAAATGTATATTTGTCTTTATTAGAAGTTGTCTTTTCCAGAGTGGTTATAATATTTTACAGTCCCACATGCAATATATGAGTCCAGTTGTTCCCCATCTTTGCCAACACTTAGTATTTTCTGTTTAATTTATGCATACTAGTGGATGTATTTTTGTAGTTTTAATTTGCAGTGCTCTCATAACTAAGGCTGGTGAGCATCTTTTATGTGTTTATTGGCCATTTGTGTATCTCCCCTGATTAAGTTTCTGTTCTAATTCTTTCCAGCCTTTTATATTGGGTTTTTTATCTTGCTATTGAATTATGAGTTTTTTCCCAGCTTCATTGAAATATAATTGACATATAATATTGTGTAAGTTTAAGGTGTACAATGTGATGATTTGACATATGCATATATTGCAAAATGATTACCACAATAAGGTAAGTTAGCACATCTACCTCACATAGTTACAACTTTGTGTGTGTGTGGGGAGAACTTTTAAGATCTACTCTCTTAACTTTCAAGTATATAATACAGTACTGTTAACTGCAGTTACTATGCTGTACATTAGATCCCCAGACCTTCTTCATCTTATAACTGGAAGTTGTACTCTTTGACCACCTTCACTCATCTCTCCCAACTCCCTGTCTCTGACAAAAACCAATATACTCTGTTTCTGTAAGTTTAATTTTTTTAGATTCTACATATAAACAAAATCATATAGTATTTGTCTTTCATGTCTGACAAAGCCCTGAGCATAAAGCCCTCATTATTCATCCATGCTGTTGCAAATGGCAAGATTTCCTTCTTTTTTATGGCTGAATAATATTATGCTGTATATGTAAACCATATTTTAAAAATCTATTCATTCACTGATGGACACATAGGTTGTTTCCATGTCTTGACTATCATAGATAATGCTGCAACTAACATGGGAGTGCAGATATCTCTTTGAGTTAGTGATTTCATTTCTTTTGTAAACATACCCATAAGTGGAATTGCTGGATCATATGCTGGTTCTATTTTTAATTTTGGGGGGAACTTCCATACTGTTTTCCATAGTGGCTTCATCAATTTACATTCCCATCAATAGTACACTATGGTTCCCTATTCTCCACATCCTCATCAGTGCTTGTTATTGTTTAATTTTTTTGGTAATAGCCATTCTACCAGGTGTGTGGTAATATCTCATCATGATTTTGATTTACATTTCCCTGATGATTAGTGATGCTGAATATTTTTTCATCTGTTGGCCATCGGTATGTTTTCTTTGGAAAAATGTCTCTTCATATCCTCTGCCCATTTTTAAATCAGATTGGTTTTCACTGAGTTGTATGAATTCTATATATATTAACCCTTTATCACACATATAACATCCTAATGAGCACTTAAAAAGAATTCTGAAATTGTTGGAATTGCTTGAAGCTCCAGTTTAGAAATTCAATTTTCAAGAAAGAATTACAGTCTCAGGACCTCATGGCAAACTCCTCAATTTTTTTTTAATTTTGAATAAAATTGTTTTTAAAGCCATATAGACGACAAACAAAGTAAACATCAATCAGATCTAACTTCTGCCAAGTATTATCAGTCCTAGAATTGTTTTATTAAGGTTCAGTTTCTAAACATTTTTAATTCAATAATTGTCATCTTCATCAGAGTCCATTATTTTTCTTCAGTTGAATTTAGCTGTTGCTTTATTTTCTGTTTGTTGGCTTATCTTTTTAAGGATTTCTATTAAACCTTGTTCTGATACCTTCCCACTTAATTGTTTATATCTTGCCATCTGTGTAAGGTAATTCTCTACTTATTTAGTTTTCTCAGACTTTACAAGTACTAAGTTACTCAAAATAAACCTCTAACTGATGGAGACTATTATAAATACCATCCTAGATTCCTTATGAAATCTCCAGATAGAAGATAATTTCCTGTACCTAGGAGTTGCTTATTACCATATAACTAGATTTGTTGACCATACTACAAGAAGACTTATACAAGTTAACAAATTTTGCAAATCCTGTGTCCAGAGAGCAAACCAAATAATGAGACCAACATTTTTGTGATCAGCATTAATCATTGGTTATCTTTTTTTTTTATCACAAAGGAGGAATGTTAAGGAAAAAGTAATCCAAAATTTGGAAAGAGACGAAAAGATAAATGCATATCTTTTCACTATTCTCCTGGAGCATTATCTAATATGTCCACCTATGAATTTTCTAATTCTTCAGGATTATGTAGATTTCTTTGACTTACTATTTGCTGTTGACTAGGGTATTTTACACCTCTGTAAGGTTAGCTGTTAACTTGCAGAAAACAATGATATAAATGATCTTTGTCCAATGAATAATAATGCAAATTTATTTTGTCTAGTAGAAATGCAAATGCTTTTTTTATGGAAAAGAGTTTACAAGATAAAGTTTACAGTATTACTACCCTAGGGGCCCTTAACTAATTTTGTATATAATTTAGCAATTTTATTCTAGCCTTCTTTATTTTAGTGGCTATAAATACAAGTGTCTCTCCTTTGAACCACATTTGCCACCTTGCTAATTCCGTCATTGATGTGTTAAATAAATCTTTAATAAGTACTTAAAAATCAACCAAACAAAAAAGTAATCACTGCTGTTACTGTAACTGGTTCTAATCACCTGAAGCTGTTAAATGACCCTGAACTTTGACTTCCCCTCTTGCAGAAACTTCTGTTCTTGATGAAGACTCTTTCCCAACCCGTGCACAAGGAATTTTGCTAACCAACAGTGTACAGATCTATGGATTCATTCCACGTTATCCAGAGTGCAAACTTTGGTTTCTCAATTAACACTGAGCCCAAGAATCTCTTCCCTATTTCTAGCATATACAACTTGCCATGACATTTTCTCCTAAGTGACCAACTTAAAGAATTTCTTTACTTCTATGTGTACTGTGTTCCCTTGCCCAGCAAGTAAATAAGCTCAGAGTTTGTTTTCTTGATCAAAGCAGTCTTCATTATCTGTGCTTTATCACCTCATGGGGAAGTGTTCCAAGATACATACATTTATACATCCCCTTCCATTTTCAGGCCATGTGGTATATAATAGCAATAAAACAGGCTTCTTAGCAATACAGACATGTGTTTAAATCCTCAGGCAAGCTATTTACCTCTTTAATTTTCCATCATTTCTTCTGAAAAATTGAAGTAAAAATACTACCAGATAAAACTGTTTCAAGGATTATGTAAAATAATCCATGTAAAATATCTGATGATGAATAAATTGTGGTTCTCCTCTCCCCTAAAATATAGGAGCATGTAGTTTGAGACCTCCCTCCACTCCTCAACAAGAAGGGCTTTTTCCATCACATGGTTGGGATTGTATTTTGAAAAACTACTAGCAGTAACTTAGAATAAATCTGTGTGTCTGTAGCAAACCTACCTCAACCTGAGAAACAAATGTTTTACATTTTATAAGGTGTATCCTGCAAATACAGTTATCCCTTATTCAGTTGAAGGGACTAATATGGTTTACTTGAAAGGAAGGCAGATATCTACTATTAGAGTGAAATACATTAATTTGGAAAACTGAGCTGAGTTAATCTAGAGAAACATCAAGTTTGAGGATAACTCTATGAGCAAGGGCATCCCCCAAAATAGCTTTTTCCTTTTCCTTTCATGGATCCACATCAAGACAGCTAAGGAAGATGAGAATGGGTATAGATCACACAATAGGAGCTCCTCAAGGAGATGAATTTGATCTATTCATCTCCTACCAAAGTTCCTGGTATTATTTTTAATTGTTAATAAATTATTGATGAATGATGAAAATTGGATAGTTTGTTGGTCTGAATTTGTGATTATAAGCATAAACAGGAAAAAGAACCTTGACATATCTAACTAGTCAATTCAAACATGTGATTGGACTGATTACTTTCACCAGTGTCTGGGAATTTGCATCATTTTGTAGTTTTGGCATGATGTCAACACTTTGATAAGTAAGATGACCAATACATCCTGGTCTAAGTAAAGAAGTTTGTGAGGGACTAGAATTGGCCATCCCCAGATATGTCTATTTGGCAGGAGGATTATTTTAGGCTGGTCACTTTTAAAAACTGCAGACAGGAAAGACACTCTGAAAAGTAGAATTTACTTGCCCTTTGTTAAGAGACATTTACATTTGTAAAGGAAATCTCCCGTCTGTAAAGGCTTGATGGGGTCCCTGCACGTGGAAGCTTTCCCATGTTAGCAGGTTTTCCACTGCACCAGTGGTGGGAGTCCTGGATGATCCCCGGACGTGCAGCCCCTCCCCTGCTCCTTCCCTCACCCGCAGCAGCGATCCCAGTCTCTAGGGGAGGGAGTGAAGTTCTCTCTTACCCTGTTCTAGCTCCTGAGGCCGGCTTCAGCCTCTCCGTCCTCCATCGTCTTGCTGTGGGTCTCTGAGAGTCCCTGGATTAGAGTTATTGGTTGAAATTCAGTTGTTCTGGTTCTTTGGTTGTAGTTTGGAGGGGAGAGAGTCCAGGGTCGGCTCACCCTGCCATTTTGCTGATGTCACTCTGCCCTTGGGTCTGCCATTCTTGTGTCCTCTCTCCCAAGATGCCCATTTCCATTTGTCCCTTCTCTGCCTTTTCTTTTTTTTGAGGAAGATTAGCCCTGAGCTAACTGCTGCTGCCAATCCTCCTCTTTTTGCTGAGGAAAGCTGGCCCTGAGCTAACATCCATGCCCATCTTCCTCTACTTTTTATATGTGGGATGCCTACGACAGCATGGCTTGTCAAGCGGTGCCATGTACGCACCCAGGGTCCTAACCAGCAAACCCTGGGCCACCGAAGGGAACGTGTGCACTTAACCGCTGTGCCACCTGGCCGGCTCCACATTTCCCTAAAAAAAAGAATCATATTATATATCTGCATTTTGCTTCTTCTCTTTATTTAAGAATTTATCATGAATATCAAAAGATTCATATTAAGAATAGTAAAATTTTAAGATTTTTATTTTAGAACTTATTCATACAAAGTTTACTTTCAAATTTAATGTATTACTTATTGGATTTTTTATGTAGCTTTATTTTTCTCCTCTTCACTTTACTCGATAGTGCATGAAATATGCGTAGCCAAATAATTTTTAACAGTTATGAAATTAGAAGCAGTATGAGAATGCTTTCACAGTGGAATGAGGTGTGGCGCAGAGAGTCTGTACCAACCACAAGTACCAAATCAGAGGATGGCCCCAGATGACAGAGGTCATTATGCATGAGTTCATGTTCTGGCTCTGCCACTGAGCATCTGTGTTCTCTTAGGCAAGCCACTCACCACTTCAAGATGTACAGATGAGACATTATGTGTTAAATGACCTCTGAAGCTTCCATGAGTCTACTTAGAATGCAGGTATAGGGTATTCCAGAAACGGGAATGCAGATAAGTTTAAATATGTAGGAAAGGTGCTGGCATCCTCAAATTCCGTTGGGCTTGTTTGAAGACAGCCTCCATTCTTCAGGTTTCTATGCACAAAATGGCAAAGAAAATTTTTGTCAGTGTTCTAGAACCTATTCTTTCACAAACAAACAAACAAACAAAAAATGGCTCCTTTGGAGAATCTATTTTGGCCACTACAAGAAAACCAATTAAAAAGTAACTACTTCTATTCCTCTATTTCCGTATAAATGACTTTTCCTGTCTAAATAGGTCTACCTGTCACTTTGTAAACAGTTTGTAAATATAAGCAAACACCAGTGACTTCTACCCATGTTTTTAGCTTTTAATGGAAAGTGTAAATATAGATTACTCAAAAATGACATACGAATAATCATCAAAAAGTGAACTCCAGGGGCCGGCCCCATGGCTGAGTGGTTAAGTTCACGCGCTCCACTGCAGGTGGCCCAGTGTTTTGTTGGTTTGAATCCTGGGTGGGGACATGGCACTGCTCATCAAACCATGCTGAGGCAGTGTCCCACATGCCACAACTAGGGGGACCCACAACAAAGAAGATACAACTATGGACCAGGGGGCTTTGGGGAGAAAAAGGAAAAACATAAAATCTTTAAAAAAATGTGAACTCCAAAAAAAATTATAAAGGTTCACTCTTACCACCTGAGACCTATTGAACAGGTTTTTGCCACTGATAAAATGTATTATAGTGTATCAGTAGATGCTAAAAAGAATTATTACGTCTTCTATTAGAAATCAATGATCTCAGATAAATAACCATGAGCATTGACCAATAAAACATTCAGTAATGATGGAAACGTTTAATATCTGTGGTGTCCAATATGGTAGCCCCTACTGAAATGTGGCTAGTGCAAATGAGGAACTGATGTTTTTGTTTTACTGAATTTTAACTAATTTAAATTTAAATGGCTACATGTGGCTAGTGGCTACGATATTGGACAGAAAGATATAGATATCTTGGGACATAAATTTTAATTAAGTTCTCTCTATGGTTAAATATTTCTAAAATATTTAATGAACATTGATGATATTTTTCCTTCTGCAAGAGAATAAAATGAATTAATGAACGTTATAATTTAAATTATCTGAAAAAATCTCCACAAAGAAATATTACTAAACTTTTAATTAGGTTTAACTTTAGCAAAACAGATCTTCATAAATCATAGTTTTAAAGTAGAAGTATATAAACTTCTACTTTTGCTCTAAAGCACTTTTTTTTTAAAGATTTTATTTTTTTCCTTTTTCTCCCCAAAGCCCCCCAGTACATAGTTGTATATTCTTCATTGTGGGTCCTTCTAGTTGTGGCATGTGGAGTGCTGCCTCAGCGTGGTTTGATGAGCAGTGCCATGTCCGCGCCCAGGATTCGGACCAACGAAACACTGGGCCGCCTGCAGTGGAGCACACAAACTTAACCACTCGGCCACGGGGCCAGCCCCTCTAAAGCACTTTTTAAAAGCAGTGAAATCATGGCTCATCTGAAGAAACGTTAACAACTTAAAATATACTCATTCTTTACAGCCTCAGAACATTTAACTACAAGTTATGGTTTTTTGCAAAATGTTAGTATCTAAATATTAACAAATTATGAGAAATGTTCAGGCAAGGTACTGGGGGTTTTTAACTTCTTTTATCCATCATTACATATTTATACTTAAAATAAATGGAATTAAGTGTAAAGCTTGAGTTAAAATAACAATTAAGAAACACAATTAACATTTAAACTTCTTTTAAAAGTTAAAATCTCTATGACTTTAAAGCAATTATAAACTATAATTTTCACAGATCTTTTAAAATTATGGTTTTTTACAATGTTTATTGAATCTCACTCAAGTTTTTAAATTACATAAAAATATACAAGTGCTATTATGCTTAAGGAAGCACACCATGTACTTCACAACACAGGACAAGCTGGACAAGTGTCAAAATCTCCAAGAAAATAAACTGTGAAAACTTATATGTATTTAACTATGAATTAAGTACATGAAAACTGACCAGTTTTTGCTCTTTTTCTTCCAGTTCACCTCCATGTGGCATCTCAGGAAGAGGAAGATATTTTCCCAAGAGAAGGCAAAAGTTGGATTGTCCTGGTAAATCAGATTTTACGCCATAGGGGCAGAAATTGTTATACTAACAAAAATGAAATTAGAACACTGTCATTCCTCATGATACAAACAAGCATTGGGTCAGACATAAGCCATCTCAGAGATCTGGTTAAATTAGAGAAAGTCTCATGATTTTGCTATGTGTTTGCACCCTGGCAACAGTCTGTCTATAGCCAAAACATCTACCTTAATGGCAAAGAAATAAAAACAATCCTGGAAGCAAAAGACATATTTAAGTGGTTAGCCGTGATTGAATGAGTTTATCAAGAGACACAAGAATCCACCAAAATTACTAAGAGCACCATGTCCACCAAAAATACCTGGCTAATTAATATACTAGGGAATGCTGATACAGTATCACAATTACTAGACACCTTACAATTGGTAGAAGCATGTTCATAGGTAGCTAGCTCCATTTTAGTCATTCAACAAGTAGGTTCACTTTAGCCATTAGCAATAAACTAACTAGGGTAGAGTTATAGAAAATTATAAGACAGTGAAAGGTCCCAAAGGATAAAACTTATGGGCACTAAAATGAAGCATTTTTAGGATATTACCAAGAAACCAATTCTAAACTCCAAAATTAACCCACAAGGGGAAAACAAATGAGTAAGAAGGTTTTGAAATATAGTTATCCAAAGCAAAATAAATTAAGCTGACGTGACTGGAAATAACTCAATTTGAGAATACTATAGCCTCCTTAACATACAGAGTTGATAAAGTATCCTGAAACACATATCCCAGATAAAAACCTCTTAAGACACACAGGAACTTGAGTAATTACTCTATCAAATGAAATTAATATCTAAAGCATATTGTTATCAAATAGATAACTTCAAAATTTAAAAGTGAACAATTCCAATTCCAGTCACAATAGAACAACTGGCATTGGCATTGGGCTTACTATTCCACCTTAAACAATTATAAATATGTGAATCAATCACTTAAAATAATTACACAACAGACATCCCAGGTCTGTGACCCTTGAGAGAAAAGACACATGAGATGAGCTCCAAACTGCAGCACAGAAAAGTAGCTTGAACAAAAAAGCACTGTTCTTGCTGGATAGAGGAAACAAGTATCAGAGTTAAGGGCTGCTGAGGCAACAGATACTTTTGGGATAATATACTGGAGAAAGATGAGCTATGTAGAGAAGGATCTCCAGACATCTGCAGAGATGTCTGTTTGAGTCTTTGGGCCATTACTAACCTGCATATATTCAGGGCAAGACTCCAGGAGGCATGGTGGAGAATAGCTACTGGGGATTGGGAGGTGAATGAAGGACCCAGAGATCACTTAATGCTGAGAGACACTGAAGTTCTAATTATCTAGAATAAGTGGCTTTACTGAACTCCACCTGCATTCAGCTGAGACCCCAGAAAGACCACACTTTAAAAGTAGTGAGCCCGCCCTGATGGCCTAATGGTTAAATTTCTGCATGCTCTGCCTTGGTGGCCCAGGTTAGTTCCTGGGTGTGGAACCACACCACTCATCTATCAGTAGGCATGCTGTGGTGGTGCTTCACATAGAAGAACCAGAAGAATTTAAAACCAGACATAACTATGGGCTGGGGCTTTGGGGAGGAAAAAGGAAGAAGATTGGCAACAGATGTTAGCTTAGGGTGAATCTTCTCCTGCAAAAGAAAAATGTAAAAGTAGTAATATTTTGACTCTAGACTAAGAACTACACTAGACCTACCCAAATACAAGCTTCAACAGGATAAAACTTCTCAGCCAGGAAACTGCTACCAGAAAAAACTCAACACTCTAATAAAGATCACAAAATATAGGCTCTCAACAATGTAGCATTTATAGTGTCTAGTATAAAACCAAAATTAGTAGGCATGTAAAGAAACAGGAAAATGTGACACATAATCAAGAGAAAACTGTATGTAGGAAAACAACCAAAGATGACATAAATATTGGAATTAACAAATATTTTAAGATATTAGAAAATGTATTCAAAGATTTAAGGAAAAATATGGACATAATAAATAAAGAGGAACAAAGAGTTTGTATAAATTACCTCAAGTCACCCAATCAGTAACTAGCAACACCAGGTTTCAGACCCAGGCCCTTGAATTACAGAGGCCACGCTCATTACAACTAAGCTGGCCTAACCACAACTACTTGCATTGCTCTACCTTATATCAAAAGAAAACTGACTGCTTAGTACACTAAACTGAGACATTATGTTGAGTTATCCTCCCAGACTGTTAACCAAACTGTAGGTTCTTGCACTCCTTTCTAATACCTGAAAGTTAACACACTCCAAGCATTATCCGTACATTTTCTAGCATGACACCATAACTTGACTTTTTTTTCCAGTAAAAGAGAATTTGTCTGACAGTCATTTTAATGAACTAATCTAAGCCTCTGTTACTCCTACCTAATTAATAAATAAAATAACTTACGGCCTAAATTCAGTAGTTTCCATAACAATCATTTTACACAATATCAGATAGTTGTGATCTTACAGAGGCTACTTTCTATGAAGAGGTTGAAATACAAAATAGAAGCTTATCAGAACCAAACATTTAGAGACACATTTAAGGAGAATATGACAAGACTTTTAAAAAGACACATTAATGGTTTTCTCTACAGGAATTTTCAAATTATGAGGGCATCAAAATGTAAAAAGTACTACATTCAATTCCTAAAATTTTAGAAACTTCTCCCTCTTTAATTATGAGATTTTTTAAAAATGTTAATATTCAAAGGGAACACAGAACATCTACTATTTCCCTGCTCTCCTGAAACCTTTCTTTCCTATGGCTAATAGTGATAAGTACTTCTCATTTCATATATTTCTCTTTCATTATTTACATCGACAGTCTTTCAACTTCCAGAAATGTCAGAGATAGACATAGGCATGTAACATAAGCTTTGTGGATGCCCGAGAATTATAAATAACTCTGCCTGCTTGGACCCTCTAGCAGAATGGAGGATGACCCTCCAGATGGAGCCCTTCCCAGACGGATGACAGCTTTGGCTGATATTTCTGTCTTTTTGCATCCCCTGCACTTTGTTTTCTTAATCTTTTATGAATAGTTCTGTGGACAGAGGGAACCATGGCCATAGTACCATGAAAGAATATGAGCAATCTGGAGAAAGAAAACAAAGTGAAGGATGAAGAAAGCATGAACTAAGAAAAGTCAAAATGACTCTTTGCAGGGTATGCAGCCACTATGTTCCAAGGCAGAATCCAACCCTTTTGAGTCCGTTGTGTCTAATGTATCACATCTAGATATCTTGCTGTCAAAGATATCAACTGGGCAAAAACACTGAAGTAATGGTAAAAAAATAGATTGTTTTCTTTTATAATTCCCTTCTATTGTAAATGTTTTTCAACATAAAATATAAACTTCAAAAATAAAACACACGTTTTCTCACAGGTAAAAATTCATGGAGAGTGCTGTCAGCATCATGGCAGAGTGAGCTCTTCCTTTAGTCTCTGTCCCATAAGATACAACAAAAAGGACATTCACAAATCAACAGGGGACATTCACACAACAGACATGTGAGAGATCCACACAGCCATATGTCTGAAGTTGGGGGTGCAAGACTCCCCCAAGAGGCAGAGGAAGGAGGTAAAAAGATCTCCCCCACCCTCACAAGTGGCAATGATCTAGGGTGTGGGACCTCACATGGCAGCTGGTGCATGACTCTGAGAGGAGATGAGAGAAAAGGCAGCCCTCCATGGGAATGCTTGCACTCTTGGAGTTGCCTCACAGCCTGTGGGAATGCTCCACACTGAAGAAGCTAAGCAACTGCAGGGGCATCTAAACCAAGCCAAGCAGCCCAAGCAGGCAGACAGTGAGTGCAGACCGGGAACGCACAGGATTGTGCCAGCAAAATAAAGTGCCTCTCCCTGCTTCTGCCTGGTGCACCACCTTGGCTGGCCAGCTAGAGTAGGGGATCCCTGCCAGAGAGCATATGGGCAAGTGAAGACAGGTCCTGTTGGCACTGTTTCCAACAGACAAGCACATCTGCCAAGAGTCACAGCAGGCTCAGAAAACACAGCTCCTGCCCAACCTAGCGGTAGAAGGTGGAATCTACACAAGATATGACCACCATGTGATGGCAATAGTCCATGCCATCAAATAGCATGAAGAAGTATATTAACACAACAAACCAGAAGGAAAATGACAAGTACCCAGAAATCAATCCTGAAGACACAAAAATTTACAATCTAAATGACAGAGAATTCAAAATGGTTATCATAAAGACTCAACAAGTTACAAGAAAACTCAGAAAGACAGTTCAATCATGTCAGGAATAAAATTAATGAACAGAGGGAATCTCTTTACAAAAGAGACTGAAACTATTAAAAAATCTGAAAGGTTGGAGATGAAAAACACAATGAATGAGATAAAGAAAAATTTGGAGTCCTTGCAAAAGAGTGCTGATATTATGAAGGACAGAATTAGTAATTTAGAGGACAGAAATATAGAAATGTTGCAGCTGGAGGAGGAGAGAGAACTGAGACTAAAAAAAAACACATGAAGAGATTCTCCAAGAAATATGACTCAATTAGGCAATGCAACAACGGATTATAGATATTCCAGAGGGAGAAGGGAGGGAGACACGAGCAGAGCTTATTCAAGAAATAATAGCTTCCCAAACATGGGGAAGGAGCTGGAATTACATGTAAATGAAAGTAATAGAACTCCTAATTACATCAATGTAAAAAGACCTTCTCCAAGGCGTATATTAGTAAAAGTGGCAAAAGTCAATGACAAAGAAAAAATATTAAGGGAAGCAAGGCAGAAGAAAATAACCTACAGAGGAACCCATATCAGGCTTTCAGCAGATTTCTAAGCAGAAATCTTCCAAGCTAGGAGAGAATTGAATAATATATTCAAAATACTGAAAGACAAATACTTTCAGCCAAGAATACTCTATCCAGTGAAAATATCCTTCAGATACAAGGGAGAAATAAAAACTTTCCCAGATAAACAAAAGCTGAGGGAGTAAAATTGCCACAAAACTCCCTGATAAACAAAAGCTGAGGGGGTTCATTGCCACAAAAGCCCCCTACAAGAAATGATCAAGAAGGGCCTCATAAACAAAAGAAGGAGTTTACAAAGACTTGAGCAAGGAAATAAACAGACAGACAAAATAAGAAAATTGCAGCTTTCTATCAGAACAGGTTAGCCAACACTTAGTTATAACATTAAGGATAAAGGGAAGGAAAGCATCAAAAATAACTATAATCACTTCATTTTAATCACAAACTCACAACACAAAATGGAATAAGTTGTGACAACAATACTTAGGGAAGAGGAAAAGGATTGAAACTGCTTAGACTAAGGAAATAAGAGATTATCAGAAAATGGACTATCTTATCTATGAGATCTTTTATAAAAACCTCACGGTAACCAATAAACAAAAATTCAGAACAGAAACACAAATGACAAATGAAGAGAAAACTGAGAAAATCATCATAGAGAAACACCAAACTGAACTAGCAGTCAGAAATACAAGGGACAAGAAACAAAGGAAATAAAGAACAACCAGAAAACAAATGATAAAATGGCAATATTAAGCCCTAATATATCAATATGAAACTCTAAATGTAAATGGATTGAATTCTCCAATCAAAAGACACAGAGTGGCTGGATGGATTAAAACACAAGACCCAAGAACAT